TGCTAAAATTTAAAAAAAAAATTGATCCGCGATCAAAAAAAGGTTGCCGACCACTGATTTAGTGTTCTTATGTTTCTTACAGATTGCGGGCTGCTACAACTTTTCTGCTAATGCTTCTGCTTTGGAGTTTTACAAAAATCGTTATTCATATAGAGGACTTAAATTGACTGCACAGGTCATTGAAAAAGGAACAGGTGGGCTTTAGATGTATTTGTTTTGACCTAATTTATTGAACTGTAATTATTTTTTACAAATTTTTGCTACTGCGTAACATTGTTCTATTGGAAAATAACAGTGGCATTACCAATATTTTTAGTTATGTTAGACAGAGTTTTACAATTTTGTTACAGTTTGTCAAGTATGTTGGGTGTTTTTTGATCTCTGCTTTTCTGAATTTTGATTTTAGTTTTCAGTTTTAATAAGTTTGTACTCCAGACTTGTCATATTATTGTTAGCTATGAACACAATTGTTTCTAAACATACATTGTATCATAAGTTGTGATTTAAATGTATGTTGTAGTCTTTTTTGTAAAAAAAAAACCTGTTTTTGTTTTCAAGGAATTGATGCGAATGCTTCAAATGTAATCTATCGAACCTTCTCTCCACTGAGTTTTGTGTATTTAGAGGAATCGCAGGGAGAGCAATTTCTTAAACCTGGACTTCCATTTCATGGAACAGTAAGCTTGTTTTGCTCAAATTTGTGTTTGCTTCCGATATGCTTATAAGCAAGTTGATATTGTATTTACTTTATTTTAAATAAATAAAGTTTAAAGACAATGTGAGAGATATTCAAGAAACACTTATTCTGTATCAGATGTTATACATAAAAAAAACCTGTAGCATATTTTTTGGTGATCTTGAGAATGAGTTGTGGCTTTTAATTGTAAATAAACATTTATTTGTATATATATATGTGTGTGTGTGTATGTGCGTATTAATATTATAATATCATTTTCAACTTTAAACGGTTTTAATTTTTCTGTACTGTTAAGTTGAAAGTAGAAAACCCTGACCACACTGTAGCAGCTGGAGAAAAGGTGCAAATTTGTTCATATGCAGAACTAGAACATTGGACCAGTAGCAGATGGATTGATGAAAGAATTAAGAACTGTAAAGATTTCCTTAGTGATGAAAATGGTATAATTCGTTTCACCATCTTGCCTCAAGGCCAAGAAGTTATTCGTCTGAGAATAGAGGTAAGAGAAGATGAATAAACAGGAATTATTTATAGAGGTAGGAGAAGGTGAATAAACAGGAATTATTTATAGAGGTAAGAGAAGATGAATAAACAGGAATTATTTATAGAGGTAAGAGAAGATGAATAAACAGGAATTATTTATAGAGGTAAGAGAAGATGAATAAATAGTAATTATTTATAGAGGTAAGAGAAGATGAATAAACAGGAATTATTTATAGAGGTAGGAGAAGATGAATAAACAGGAATTATTTATAGAGGTAAGAAAAGGTGAATAAACAGGAATTATTTATAGAGGTAAGAGAAGGTGAATAAACAGGAATTATTTATAGAGGTAAGAGAAGGTGAATAAACAGGAATTATTTATAGAGGTAAGAGAAGGTGACTAAATAGGAATTATTTATAGAGGTAAGAGAAGGTGAATAAACAGGAATTATTTTTAAGTTTGAAAACTGTGTTGAACAGTAAAACACAGTTAATTAGCATGTTTTATGTGTCATTGTCACCAAAATTAGTTTTATTTTTAATAAAATTTTCACCTCTGTCTTAGTAATTATGTGTTATTTGAGATGTTAAAAATATTTTTTAAACATTTTCTTCAATATAAAACGGGTTTTTCAACCTATATCTTGACACTTAGACTGTCGCAGTTGTTGAGATATTGTATACTTAGATAAATTAACTAACAAAGTTTCCTTGGTTTCTAGGCTATAAACTTCAATTTGTCCTCTGGGATCATGTTTAATTTTCAGATGTATTATTTCACATTTTAAACTTTGTTTTTCAGTTCTGAGTTGCCAATAATATTATATCCTTGATTTATAGTTTAATGGATTCTTATTATATTCAGTATTATTATTATTCTGTATTATTGCATTGGTCTCTAGCTTAACAGATGTTTCCTGTACTCAGTATTATTACTATTATTTGTATCATATGTATGGCCTGTATTTACACAATATTTCTCTATTTTTTAAAGGAATTTCAAAAGTATATATTATTGATGCTACTTATTTAGTCTTTTGAATTATTTAGCCAAACAAACTGTTTAGAATACTAAGAAAATAAATGTGAAGCTCAATCTGGCATTTAAATTACCAGTTCTCACTGAGCTATGCGTGTTTTGGGGGAATTCCACCCTTCATCAGTGTAGCATTACAATACAGGGTCACCGTGTGAGTAAAAGACACTTCAAGAAACAATAGATATATTCTTCACCACAATATGAAGCCTAGTTTTATTCTTTTGATTTGTACTTGTACAGCCTTACTGATGAGGGGTTGAGTCCCCCAAAACTAGTGACAAGTGGTTAGTCAAATGATAGATTGAGTTCCACATATATTTTTTACTATTTTAAACTTTGCATCGTTGCAATGGTCTGTAGGTTAACATTTGACTCTTGTTCGATAACGAGGAACCCACTTTGAGACTAATAATGGCTGGAGACGGCTTGAATGGGTAATGAAGAAAACTTTAATATAAGTTTAACATAACAGACAATAGTACAATAGTTTCGTACAAGG